GGGGAGCTGCTGCATTGTAAATTTTGGTCAATGACATGAGACAAAGTATATGTGAACTGCTGTATGAAAAGTGAATTTACTCTGTAAATCTTCGCCCAAATCCTAATTAAAAAAAAAAAAGTTTATTTGTTCTGATATCTCTTAAAGTAGGATACATTAATTAAAAGCATGAAATTAGATTACTAATATGAATAGGCAGTGAAAACATTTTATTACCCATTTAAATTGACTAGAGTCCCTCAGTGTGTAATAGGGAATGACCCCAAGGAAGGTTGCTGTCTGACATGTACAGCATCTAATCTCTGGACACCAGCCTGTGAGAAAGAGAAAGTAGCTTTATTTATGTAGTGCTAGGTAAGGACCCAGGGGGAGTTTCCCTTCTATCTGACTGTCTGAAGTATGAGTTACAGCTTTATAGCATTTGAAAAAGGAAGTTGTACATATTAATTGATATTCTAGGAGAGCTAATGCATAGGAATTATTAAGATGTTGCAAGCATCCATGCAGCAATCATATGTTGCATGTTCTAAAACTGGAGACCTTAGCATGATCAGTGGGGGAATTTTCATGGGGGATATGTCACTACGTCATCTTAGGACAAGGCTGGAGTCTTCTGAGCATTCTCTGTGGGCCAAGGGTGATAGGAACCAGTGCATGCTTATTGTCTCCTGCGTGCAGGTTCTGTTTCTTTAAAAAAGAAACAGCTTAAAGGAGGGAAAGTTACTAATTGCAGGAATGATGGGGGCATGGGCTGGATTACAAGTGGTATAAACAGTTAACATACTTGGCTCCTAACTGAAAGATTAGTGGTTCGAGTCTACCCCTAGGCACCGCTGAAGAAAAGCCTGGCAATCTACTTCTGAAAAATCAGTCATTGAAAACCTTATGAAGCAGTTCTATTCTGATACACACGAGGTTGCCAGGAGTTGGAATCCACTCAATTTATAAATTGATTACAGCATATATATTTTTCTGTGCATGGACTAAGACCCTTCCTGGTAACTAACATGATTTTACCATATTTCTTCTTCCTTAAATTTTAATTTCTTCACCTTTGGTTTCAGCCTCTTTAGATGTAGTCATTGTCATGTGTGTGATGACTGTCTTGATGACGATTTGTTGTTTTTTCCTCAAGAAGGTGTTTTAAGAACAGTACTGAGTCATGTCCTCA